GAATGGAGGTCTGAACCAGTTGGTAAATGGGGTTTAACCAAATATTTAGAAGAGAATTCTCAAAGCTCTTCATTTAACATGGCTACAAACTCCAATACAAACCGTGTTTTGAGAAATCAACTCGTTTTTTTTAGCTCGAGTCTGCCATGAACTACATATTTAAAATAGGGAATAATGAACACAAAAATGTAACTTAGCTGGGAGTAAGATGAAGGATTTATGAATGTATTTGTTGAAAAAACTTTTTATATAAAGCCTTTTTTATGTGCCTTGTAAATGGTAACTGAGTGCTGAAAAATACAGTAACTCATTATTAAAAACTGGCCGATCTGGTTTGGGACTGAAAGAGGAGACAGCAGTCACAGTCTGGCTTTCTTTGATCTATATTGCCTTTTTTAAAATGCAACAGGAGATGAACTGGAACAGGACTGTTGAATCAGAATGGGAATTTGAATCAGAATCATTTATGTATGTATGTTTACAAGTATGTTTCTGGTAAGTGCTCAGCGCAATTAAAAACACAGAAAATAAAACATATACAAAATACAAAATATGTAATAGTGCACAATAGTGCATTCTTTTGTAAACTCCCATGGACACTGGTCACAAATATTAGTCACTGGCCCTTATACATATTTATTATGGTGCCCTGCTGCTAGTTTTACCATAAAATCTTACTCCCATGCTAAAATGATATGTAAATGAAAGGCCGCAAAATCTGTTGTATGTAAAACATGCTCTGTATGTATCAGTTCAAAACGTGAGTACCAGTGATCTCATATCTTGTTGCTGTGGAAACAGTCAAATGAACACACATGCACACAGACTATAGCACCAGACACTGGTGCACAATGTCTTGGCCCATACACAATGTTCTCGGGATTTGTGATTTAGAGCTGTTAAATGGTTCTGATGTGGTGTTGGTGGGTGGGAACTGTCACTGGAACACCTCCGACATTCGCTTTGGCTTTAAAAATAGGCACGCCTCACATGAAATCAATAATGGCACTTAGATGTGATGGAGTGTGTGTTGGCTGGCTTTGTCGCCCCCAGGATTACCATCCCTCTTGGCACTGTAACTGACACTGTCTCTCTCACCTGCAGCTCAAAACAAGCTTCTAACAGGGACCGCTGCCCCAGTCTGTGCTAATACACAGAATAATAGCATCTGAACTGAAATATGATGCACTGTATTTTTGCATGCACTTCATTTTGATTAGCTGTTTTGAACAAATGTCTTACTTTTTAGTCTTCAAGAGCCCGTATTAGGGATGGCACTACTTGATCCATCACTGACACTGAAAATGAGTGACTAATGCACTTCAAAATGAAATGTTATGTTAAAAATTGAAAACATAGAATGTCTTTTACAAACTAATGAAGTCTGTTTAATGTATAATAGCTGGAAAGCCTTCATGTGATTTACCAGTAGCTTAGCGCTGACATAATAGTAGAGCCCCAAAGGGGCACTAGCAGAAATTAACATTATCATAGAGGTGTTTTTCCCCATTTGTGGCCCAAGCAAAAGGTCAAGCTCTAATAGTCACAGTTCACCACTGTTAATTGTTAATATTTGTTTTTTGTTTGTTTCTTAGATGCCGTAAAATAACTTAGCTTGTGTCTTTTAATCTGCAAATCAACCTGTCTGTAATTTTGATTGCAGGTACTACTGCTTATCAGACAGTTGTGTCTGACGCTGACTGGGCCATAAGTTACACAATACTGCCATCTAGCGGTCATTAGCAGAAGAGCATCCACCACAACCCCATTTCTCTGTTGCTTATTCTGGTCTCTCTCTCTCTCTGATAATAAAGTACACAATCTTCACATTATTCTAAAGGCTATATGCTACAGTCTGAGGAAAGATGTTATATGGAGAGAATAGGTTCAGTTGCACCAGTGTTTCTCTGTCCTGATCCTGGAAATCTCCTGTTTTCTGCTCTAACATAAGGCTTCTCAGCTTCGTTCCTGGAGGCCTGTCCCTTTATTCAACTCATCAGATTATGCACAAGCACTTCATGAGGTTAGAATGCATGTGTTAGACCAGGGAAAACACCACACTGTGCATTTCAGTGCAGGGGGAATCCAGGAGCCACATTAAAGGTCATATCTGACATTTTACATTTCTTTTCATCCATATGTTCTCTGAGTGTGTCTGCTCAGAGAACATATCTGGTTGAACCATGTGACTAAAATGTGAGTTTTTATCACTTAATACATGATGGCAGAGAGTACTCCAAGATCGGGGTTGGAAACCACTGCTTTAGACCAATCAGAACATGTTGTATGTCAGGGGTGCACAACTCCGGTCCTGGAGGGCCGGTGTCCAGCACAGTTTGGTGATTTACCTCTTCGAACACACCTGATTATACTTATCTGTTAATTGCCAGGTTAAGTTGGTGTGTTTGCGCAGGGAAAGTCATGTTCCTCATCATACTAAATGTAGTTGTTGGACACGAATGGGTTAAAGACACTCTAATGCCTTCTCTGCTTAAGTCTGATAGGCTATATTATTCAAAGTTGTCTGGGCACATTCATTAACTTTCATTAACGTTCTACAACAGTAACTTCCCAAACCCAATGAATTCAACTTGTCCCATTCAAGAACAATAAACCCCCCCAACAGCTATCAATACTTAATAATACTCCAACTGCTACACTCAGTTCTCTTAGTTATTCATGCATAATAACCACTCCACATAATTGCACACAGACCCACACACACATCAAATAATGGCATTGTAAAAAGTATCATCTACAAATTTTGTATTGCCATGTACACTCGTTTTATTTATTATTATTTTTGGGTTTTTTTTGTTTGGTCTTTTTATTTTTTATTTAATTTTTGTTATTTTGTTGTTTATTTATTTTTTCTTTCGCTATGTCCTAATGAAATACGTACTATTAATAACAAAAGTACTATAGGTCCTCCAAAAGGGTGGGGGGGGCATGTTTAAAAAAAAATTAAACTCTGGGCATTTCAAAGCATCCGATGGACCCAAGCTGAAATCAAGCAGTGAAGATAAAGAAGCGACTTTTTAATTAAGCCATGAGGGTCACACAGTACGCCACTATTAGATCATATAACAGCCCTTACTCTAATGCAGAGGTGCCAAACTCAACCACTTAAAGGGCCATATTAAAAAATCTCATCAAATCTGTGGGCCAGCTGTGTTTTTATCTTAATTTTACTCAACATTTTGCCATGAACCCAACTGGCCGTTGTTTGTTCAAAATATGCCACAACTACAAGAGCGAAAAAATAGGCACTGAATAGTTGAACTATGCAAAAATAATTTTATATAAAAATAATTGTTTATATAAAACAGACTACATTAGCTGCAGATAACTGCTAAACCTCTTTAAATGTCCCCAGTGTACAGTAGGTTTTTAAAAGTGCCCATTCACTTAAACTAGACACCTGTAATTTTTTTGTTTTGTTTTTGTGGTGCAGTCCCACAGATCCTTGTTGGGGAGGGAGAGGGAGCACACATTGCAGTGCATGCTGGGAACTGTAGTGCAGTTCATGGTGAAAAGGGCTAATATACATAGAAAATTAAAATAATGTTGCAGGCCAAAGAGGACTGTGCCCCAGGCCTGACTTGGCCCTTGGGCCTTGTGTTTGACACCTGGGCTCTAATGCTTCCTTTGACTATGTCTGCCAAGCATTATTGTTTGAAATTGTCTGGGCACATCCTGGTTCAGGGGAGTTATGGTCCAAAACTGATCATCCAACATACCTCAACCTCAAGTCACTAATGTTGACTGAATGCAATCAAATCCTCACAGCAATGTTACAACATCTAGTGGAGGGGTCTGCCCTGTTTACTCCACAGCAGAAATAGATTTTTAGGTAAAAATAAATGAATCCTCCTTTGCAGTAAAATAAAACTCTGTTGGTCGTTCTAACACAGTTTTAACAATAAATGGTCTTAAACGCTGGAGTTAATCTAATTCAGCCTTTAACCCTGAAAGTTGGCGCCCAGACTGCTGGTCACCATAGCAATGCAGATAACAATCTCACCTAGCTAGCAGCTAATGAAAAGGCAAAGAGAAAGATTTAAGATGAACATTGATAATTTAGAGACGAATGGACTTATATGGGCATTGATATTCACTCCAGCTGGTTTCCTGATACGTTTAATCAACAACGAGAAACTGTCAAACACTAAAAAGTCGCGAAGCTGAAGTCAGTTTCTCATTCTCCAGCTTCTTGTTCAAATTTTCCCTTTTCACCTTAAGTGGTTCAGCAGTTACATTCTGGCGCCTCAGCCACCATTTAAGGTGGAACAGGAGAATTTGGACAAGAAGCTGGTTAATGAGAAGCGACTTCAGCCTCGTAAAAGTTGAATGTTGAGAGACATTTTACAAAAAACTGTTCTACGTTTGAGGAAAAGTTTCCTGCCGGAGATGCAAGAAAAGCGGCTATAGCTGAGCTAAAGCTTAAAGCAGAGCAAAGTGATTCTTCGTTTTCATTTATATTATATTTGTTAGCCTACACTAGTACATTAGCGCATACTGAGACATGTTTACAGCCAAGATCGTAAAATGGACATAAAATGTTGTGGCTCTCAAGGTGGTTGGATTTTTGCTAAAAGGACAAAATAGCTCTTCTTAACATTTGGCTGGACGATCCCTGATCTAGTGTAAAGCCTTCCCAGAAGTGTAGAGACTGTTACTGTAGCAAAGAGAGGCCAAACTTCCAATTAATACCACTTTTTTTTTAGAAAAAAACGTTTGAACGGGCGTCTACAGACTTTTGGACGTGTGTAGTGCAGCTCCACTAGAAACAGTGGTGACACTTCTATGAAAGTGCTCCAATACAAGGTTTATTATGAACCTCATAACCCTGCTTGGGGGACACCAGTGTCCTAACAGTTAAGTTAACTGACCAGAGAGCGCTCCTATCATCTCGCTCTCTGATTGGCTCCCGCCTCTCCGCGCCACTCAGGCGCATTTTCCCAACATCCCGTTCACTAGAGCCACTACGACCGCAGCTCTAATGACAGAAGGAGCGAAACCCCCCAGCTGAAGGGCCACCTCACGCCTTCTAACCTAACACCCAACGGCTGGAACTTCCACTCCGTCTTGGATCATGCGCACTCCAGAGCTCCAGTGCGCTTAAAGGCAAACCCGAAGTTCGAGAAGTCTTGGGGGTCTCGAGGTAGGGGGCTTAACTCAGTTTCCCAGCTTTAGGTATGAACGTGTCTCACGGACTGCTGGCTCCAGCCATGGCGGGGTCTCGCGTGCCCTTGGCGGACGAGCGCGAGCAGTTCCTCGGGCGCCTCGTGCAGATCGCCGTGCTCTGCGTGCTCTCTCTGACCGTCATCTTCGGCGTCTTCTTCCTCGGCTGCAACCTGCTCATCAAGTCCGAGAGCATGATGAACCTGCTGGCCGACGACCGGAGACCCTCCAAAGAAGCGGAGATCATCATGATCGCGGCGTGAGGGGATCCAGGAGGACTTGTAGCGCTCAGGATGATTCACGGACCTGAAAAGTGGAGAAGAGCTGAACTTTGCTTCTCTCTGAGCCCCGAGGAGGAGCAGGAGGAGGAGGTGGAGGAGGACATGGACGTGGACTTGTTGAGCTTTAGCGTCATCCCTGTTTCAGGACTGCCAAAATACCAAATGCATGCTGAAGTAAGAGTGATGTTTTTTAATAAACCACGATGAATATAGACGTCCGTGTAGTGTAATCAGTTACTTTTTGAAGCAAACTCTTCAAAATAAGGGTGTCACAAGAGGACATAGAACATAAACACTTTTGGTTCCCCAAAGAACCATTTTTGTAAGTGAGATGGCTGTGAAGAAGCTTTTAAACGTTTAAAGAAGGGCTGGGCGATATGACAGTATATATCATTATCGTGATGAATTGACACGATACAATAGAGAATGCTACAAAGCCCTGCTGGTGACATCCCGTATAAATAAAAATAATGCGTGGCCACAACTTAGTAAGGCATGGGAACAGGGTAATTAAGTTGCAGCCATGACTTATCATCCTAATGCGTAGCCACAACTTAGTAAGGTGTGGGAACGAGATCATGCCTTATTAAGCTGTGGCCACACATTATTTTTCATTACACAGGATGTCACCAGCAGGGCTCTGTGAACGTACCGTGACCAACTGCATGTTTCATTATATAGAGAGCAGCATTAGACCTGTTTAACTGGATTTAGTGCAACACAATCTGCCAAATACTGAATAAAAATCATTGTGTTCACAGTTGTTGATCTTTCTTTAAAATGTAGCATTACTTGTTCTTTTTTCTCTGCTCCAACTGATCAGCTGACTGGAAAAATAAATATTATTACATATCAATTATCATGAAAACCTCTTGAAGTATCACAATGTTATATTTTTGCCATATCGCCCACCTCACGAGTTGAAGAACCTTCACATAACAGACAGTTTTCTTCCTGCAATGTTATATGCAGGTTCTTTGAACTTTAAAAAGTTCTTTACACTCATGGTTCTATATAGCACCAAAAAGGGTTATTCTGCTGTTACAAGCTTGACATCATAACAATAGCAGAACCCTTTTTGCTATATAGAACCATATACAACACATTCTCCATCAATATGAAGCACCACTTCACCATGCAAAGAACCGTTCAAGCATGAAATGGTACTATGTAGAACTCATGGTTCTAAATAGGACAATTCTTTTTACTAAAGAACCATTAAAGATACATATGTTTAAGAGTTTGGCATTGTCAGCACCTTTATTTTTAAGAGCGTAAAGGTGAGGACAGTTGCTAATACACTAGAAAAATGGGTTCTTGGAATTGATTTAAAACCTGTACATTTCCACATGAATAAAAGGCATCAACACAATTTTCTCTCTTAGTTTAGTTACTTTTGGCAATAATTGTGTTGATGTAATGTTTTATATGGAAATGATACACTGGAAGTAAATTGCATTGGAAGTGCATTCTTGTTGTTTGTGCAGAGCAGTCAGTCATTGGGACTGGGGAGGAGGGATGGGCAATATGGCAAAATAAATGATCAGCATATGAGATATTTTCTCTTGTTAGATGAGAAGTATCACAATATTTCCTTTTTTCTGTGGTTTATTAGGAACAGATAAAAACAGTGGTGTCACATTTGAGTTGTATTGCAGTGTTTCACAGACACACAATTATGCTCTCTGTAATGGAAAATGAAGTCGGTTAGCATTCTTTAAGTAGAAGATATCCATGATGCGCTCAGAAAAGCATAATGTGACACACAAAAATGATACATATTGTCATATTGCCCACCCTGGGGAGGATTTTCAAACTGGTATCTGAAGACTGGACCTCACTTAAGAAGAATATTTATAATACAACAGAAAGTTAACATTCTTGTAAAGTACCATATATTATTGCTCTTGGAACAAAACCTTGTGTTTCCAAAAAAAACTTTAACTTTCAGTGTAAATTAATGTAACAAGGTTTTATTCACCACCATTTTTTGGCCAGTATGAACAGCAGCTTGCCTTTTCAAATCCTGTGAAAAAAATAGAAATGGAGATACAAAGTTTTGGTCTGACAGTGGTATATCAGGTTTACAACTGAATAACAGTATTCATGACTTTCCTCAACTGGCACCCTGAATTTCTCTGTGTTTTGAGATCATTGACAGAGCTGTCTGCCCACATTACACTGAAAATGGTCACTCTTTTTGGTTCTACCAAATCTATCCAGTCCAACACAAGCATAATATGAAATTGAAAACTAGCCTAGAAGTCATCAGTTTCTTTCTTTAATATTTTCTCCTTCAACTTTGTGTCCTTCGCCCTTAAAAAGGGTTAAACTGTCTTTCGTAAAAGCAATGGGGATACATAAAACCATGAAAAATGAAAGAATCTTTTTACTGTTAACATGTTACATTTTAGACATTTCTAAGCACTTTAAAAATTGATCTATATAGTTCTAAAATGGTTCAAATAACCTTTTTAGGTTTTATGCAGAACTCATTTAACTCAGTGTTGTTTTAAAGATTTAAATATGGTTTGATCAATAACCATGTTTTTTCAACTGAAAAATTCCACTTAAAGCTGCTCATTAGTGCAAGAAAAACCTCTCAATTATTACTTAATTTTATTGAACAGCACTAAAAAATGAACTGTAAATAAGAAGGTATTGTAATAATAGGTTTTACTACTTTTAGAATATTTAAAAGTCTACATGTAGTTTGTTGATACACATCTTGCTCATAACTGCCTTATGATGTGTGCAGTAGACTTTTTTACACCGGTTCACTGAGGGACAGATCATCTAAATGAGAGGCCCTTCTTGTTTCATTACATAAACCTCATGTGGAACGAGAGGACAACTTTACACTCAAAATTTTTCCAATGATTTACTCTCACAGTGGGTCTAAGGAGAATGGTTGAAATACATGGGGATCATATTACAGATATGTAAAAGTAAGCAGTAACCTCTTCAGTCCGCTTAGAAAGGAAAGGATGAGTTGTGACACAGTTGGTGGAGATAATTGCCTACACCCTTACAAAGTGGATCTTTTAAAGGGTTCTTTAATAAAGGCAATGCACTATTTAAAGTCAGATCAACCTAAAAAAATACTTCGTGGTAACAAGTAAATTAACTAGTTTAATTCAAGTCAAGTCAAATTTTTTTATATAGCGCCTTTTACAACAGATGTTGTCACAAAGCAGCTTTACAAAGAATCTGGGTCCAAGCCCCCAGTGAGCAAGCCTTGGCGACAGTGGCAAGGAAAAACTCCCTCAACAGGAGGAAGAAACCTTGAGAGGAACCAGACTCAAAAGGGGAACCCATCCTCCTCTGGTCGACACCGGATAAGAGGACAGACACAAAACAGTATAAGTGGATACAGTTTAATTCAACAGAAATAAATACATAAAATTAAGGATTCTTTCAATCAGTGTAATTTTTTGAGTTGAATAAAACTGGTTAAAAAAAAAAAAATAAAACATAAAATATTAAAAGTGCCAAAACACTAACAGAGATACTTATCACTGTTGCAATAAAGCCTTGCACTTTTTTAAAAAAGGTGCCAAAAATGTTTTTTTTTGTGCAGTGTCATACGTTCGTGGCATAACTAGGATCTTATTGACACCAGAGCAAAAAATATCCAGCCCCCCAGGTTATGAAAATTATATTTTTATTTTACATTTTTTCAGTTTTCTCCCCAATTTAGCTATGTCTAACTCCACCCGCTAGCTAGATCTCCCCCCAATCACATGATACTACCAGTGCGAGGAGCAACTGAACTAGTTCTTTTCAACTCAAAAAATTAATTTCACTGAAAGAATCGTTCATTCAAAGTATTTATTTAGGTTGAATAAAACTAGTTAATTAACATTGTACCGCATTTATTAGGTTGAATTGATTAGCCATTTTTTACAGTGTGTTATGTCAGCTAACAGACACCCATGTTAGCTAGCATCCCGCTGAGTTGTGGGGAGAAGGGCCATCCTGCCCACCCAGAGAGAACGAGACCAATTGTGCAGTCTTGGATTCCATCATGGCTGTAGCTTCACACGATCTTCTGATGATTAATTTATTATTTAGAAAATTACTTTGCTTGCTTACATTGTTATGACTCAAACAAGCTGAAGCACTCAAAGCCTGCCACTCCATCCACTAGCATCTAATGTTAACCTAAATATTTACATTATTGAAGATTTTAGAGTTATGAATACTGAATATGTCATGTTGCAGGTTGTGACGAAAATGGTTACCATGGACGAGGTACATTATGAATAAGAGGGAGATAAATAGGTTTCACTTCTATTCTGTCTCTCCCCAGTGCAGTTAACACCCTGCCTCTAACAGTTAAGCCACTGCTTTAGAAGAATCACTTTTGATCCTCCAAAAAATTTCAATGGACCACAAAGAACCTTTTTAAAGTTTAAAGAACCTCCACATCATGGAAAACAGGGGTGCCCAAACCTGGTCATGGAGATCTACCACCCTGTGCAGCTTAGTTCCACCTCTAATCACACTTGATCCAATTAATGAAGGCCTTCAGGAGCATCTGAATATGAGATCCAGGTGTGCTGGAACCGAGCTCTCCAGGGTGGTAGATCTCCAGGACCAGGATTGAGCATCCATGATGTAAAGGATGTAGGAAGAACCTGTAAATTGGTCTAGAATTGTTATACTGCAAGTTCTTTAAACCTGCAAAAGGTTCATCACAAATCCCTCTTTCAAACACGGTTCTTTAGGGAACCAAAAGTGGCTTTCCTACGGCACAGTATAGAATCCTCCCCATTAATGGTACATCCAGCTTTAAAGAGCTTCCCCTGCATTTTCCCTGGACAGAACAATCCTATTTGACCCAAAGAAGAATTTTACTGTTTTATCCTCTCAAATACACACTGTATGAGGTTATGCAATTGCGGGAAATATTTCGGAAACATTTGTCCTAACTCCTCGCAGATGCCTGGCATGCGAGGTTGGGCCACATGCATGGCATGCTGAGCCACTAATGGCCTTGCATGTGATGAGTGAAAAACGTGCCAAAGGCCTTGCCTTTTATCAGAGACTAAAACAGATGGTGGTGGAGATATATGTAATGGAAGGCAAAGAACAATAATCTAAATTAGAGATTAGAGCCTCAAGCTATATATGACTGACCTAAATCCTGGGCCAACCAAACTATAAACAGCAACCCATATGCATGTACATAGCTATAGCCTGATCATTATCGTAATCACAGTAGCCTATAAGTATTTCCATAAAACTGTAAGCTTTAGTGTGCTTCCATATGTCATACAGACTGTAGCACAACATAGTACTGTAGTCACCCTGGATTATAATCGCCCTGAACAACATGATCCAGGTTTATCCAAGTTTTCATTACAGAAAAGGCTCCTGGGGATTTGGATGGCTCAGCTGTGAGGTTTGGTATCCATATTATCAGGGTTCGAATTGTGGTCTTCAGGGTTCCCGTGGTAGGGGGTCACCATGAGATGACATAACAAATATGGCATAAATTTACCACTTGTTACACAATAAAAAACATCAGG